GGTTCCCTATCTTTGATTTTCATTCTAATCGTGAATTCCTCCCTTAAACTGTATTGCTGTGTATAGGCGCCCATAATTTTGGGACACCCTGTGCAAATGTCACTCCTCAAATATTGTATCCCTAATCATATGATATTCTTCGAATTTTCAACGATGTGGGAAGAAAGCATCGCTGCCATAAAAATAAAATTAACTGTTCAAATAGCTGTATTCGAGAAATTTAGTAGTTTGCATTGATATACGGGACTTTGGGCAAATAAAAACATAAGAAGATGTACTAAAGGTGAAGTTTACGATGAAAAGTCAGCCTTCTAGAAATTAAGGTGTGGTCAGTGGGTGCAGGGATGAAGGAAAATCATGAGAAACGGCCAGAACCCGAGAAATGGGACCTTCCTCTTCTGATTTCCGCATTGATGCGACTCTCATCGGTGCTGCATCTTCAACGCTAACGTTCTCTCTGCTAAACGGCTCAAGCTAGCTCCCTCTGACTCTAGCCCTCCTACTAGAGTGCCGCGACGCGAGCATCGTCGGTATGGTCCTGGTAAGCCGGGGGAGTGGGGGCACACACTGATGGAATGATGGTCCTTATGAATCGACACAGCACTTTAGCTCCTGAATCCTCGTGCATCTCATCTCTATCTCAGAGTGAATATCCATATTCCTACATGTCCCTTTACGTTCTCTTCTGGCTGGTGCACGGCTGTATGGTGTAAAGCTACTTACATATAGGGTTTTACTTGTTTATGTTGTGTTGTTAACACTGCTTTTTTTTGTTTGCCGATGGCGCACCTAGAGTGCATGATAAATAAATAGTTACTTTTGTACATCCAGGACAACTCACTACCGCCACCCGAGGTTGGCGCCGCGTAGCTTCTCCGCCAGCTGGCTCTCCATTCTTCAACGGGAAGAACCTTTAGCAAAAACCTGCGACCGGTAACCTATAGGATAACTTCCTGGATTACGAGTAGGCCTGTTGTTAACGTTCCGCAAGCGGGCTAGTCACTTTTGTTCGTGAAGAAGTCTGACCATCGGGCGAATCGAACTTAGCGTTGGATCTTTTTTTGAAACTACATTAGGTAAATGAAGTGATATAATAGTCCTTCATTTACCGTAAAGCCGTGAAGGTCTCATCGCCTGGCATCGCCAGCGATGAGACCTTCACGGCTTTACGTCTGGCGAGAGCAGCCGGCCCATACTGCATAAGCAAACAGAGACAATACGATCGCGTAACGTGTGCTGCAGCGATACAATGAGGGCGGTGACTTCCTTTCCCCATTTCTGTTTTCATCTGATGAAATAAATCCCAGTAAATCCCTACAAGGTTCTATTGGAAGGGCTTAAAGGCACGTTTCGGAATAAGGAGCGTTCGCCTATTCATCCTGGGGGTAGTAGACAGGCGGACAAGCGTTGATGTCGCGCCCCTTTTGCCGCTTGTGCCACGTGGCGCTGCTTGAAAAGCGCGGGCGCATTTGAGGCAGTGGTCCCATTGCGATCCAATGTTATTGGCACTGGAGCAAGTAGAGTTAGGTTCGTGAAACTCGTCCAATTCGCCTCTTCTCTATCCCAAGGTGGAATGTGGCTGAAATAGGGGAGGTCTCTGTGCGGGGCGTAATCGGTGGTTTCGTTTGCTTTCCTTCTCTTTTACAGACCACCTCCCACCTATAGCTTCATAACTGAACGCTTTTCCACACCTATTTTATCCCGAATCTTGCCTTTAAGAGGAATCGCGTTGACCGGAAAAATCATGATTCTAAGAATGAAGAGGAACGGCAATATTGCTTTTCTTTTCGGTAAAAAATTCGAAAAATCGAAAGGGCTGCTACGCGTTCAAAGTTACCACGACGTCTTTCACAAATGCTGGCGACGGGGATGCTCCACTTGGTTCTTGGAGTGCCTTCACTAGAAGCTCTTTCTGGCCTTCTGCTTTATTGCATTCACATCTTACACTTCTACTCCATCCTATTCCTATCGATCGATTTGTCTCCACTCTCCGAAATCGCGCGCTTTAACCCGATTCTTTCATTGCGTCGCCTGATACGTAGCCGGCCAAACGCCAACTTCTTTCCATGCCTCGCCTTTGGCTGCCGCCCGAATTACCTTCGATTGTCCATAACGTGTAGTTTTTGTACGTTTGTTTCTCTTCAGAAACCGAATCTTCATGCGTGAAACTTTGTGTGCTGTTTCCAGTGATCACAACTGACACATTCATGTTAGGAAAGAATGCAAGAATTTTCCGCGAAGGATTCCTTTAACACACCCCAAGTTCTCATTGGCATCCAGTAGAGATAGCAGCATTGTTGCACCGATTTTTCGTTCCTTTTGTTGAAGGGAACTAAAATGCACTAACACGAGCTCCTAAACAATAGTTTCAGAGTATTGATCGTTGGAGCATCATCCTTCTTTGGTGTTTGGAAACGCCGCAGAAACATCTTTTTTTGTTGTTGAAATGCGAACTCAAGCCTTGAGACAGGGGCAGCAGACACGCTGGGGTGCGTGAGCATTTTCATTTCTCTCTTCTTCATGCCCCCCCCCCTTTAGCTAGGTATGTTTTGAGGATGCCCCGTACATTGCGGTGGCGCTGAAATAAGAGTAGAAAAGGGTCTAGCGGTAACGCCAGCAAATTTTCCTGTAGAGTTTCCCATGATTACCCGAATGGCTCGTGACAACCAACTGACCCTTCACCTTGTACTGCCACCGTTACTGTCAGTACAACTCCAGGCCTCCATGTTCTTAAAGAGGACATTCAAAACAGGTCATTCAAAAACCGCTAGTGAGTAACACTATGACTTAGCCCAGGACTGGGATTAAAGACCAGGGAAAAACAATGGTTGCTCACATCCTACCCCTCTAAGGCCTATTTCCGAGTTCTGTGAGGGACCCACTCACCTCAACGTTACCCCCTCTAAGGACATGAGCGCCACAACTATGTCCGGCAAATATCAAGCACGAAGACTCGTGTTAATGACGTCTACGATGAGGACCTCTTCCAAGATTGTGCAAATGCAGACAACCCCACTGAATTTTCGATCAATACATGACCAAAGCGAGTTTCCGTGCACGAGGGCACTTCTGTGAGAGGCGTCCGCGAAGTAGCTTTTGCTGTTCCTGCCTGGATTGATAACTATTCCGTTTCTTAGCTTCTTACTGTGTTTACAGAATCATCTGTTATATTTTCTTGCATTGATCATTCTCCTCTGTTCGGGTGCATCCTGCGTGATTGTAGGTCGGATGAACGATATTTCAGATGAACGGTCGTGGGGATTGACGTTGCTGGTGGATCCTCGTTTCCTCCGGAATTATGGATAACTTGGACAGATTTTATCGATATTTTGAACGGCCACCGTTCGCTCCTGTCTATTATCCGACAGCGGAGGAATTTCTGGATCCTCTAGCTTACGTAGCAAAGATTCGTCCAGAAGCTGAACAGTACGGCGTCGTCAAGATTGTCCCACCTGAGGTAACACTAATATTTTGTTTCTTTGGATTTAAACAGAGTGCGAGATTGTAAATACGTACCACGACTTAATTTTAGGCTTTCTTTTCAAATTGATAATGGTATTTGCGATAGTACATAATTGCGCCCCGTCCTCAGTTTAGAAGATATACGACATATCTGTATCTTTCTTTTCTCATCCGGACGATATGTTTCGTACTTCGTTTTTTTCTTCTGATATACCATAATCTTTTCTGATATCTGCACACTGACAAGCAGTAATTACTGTGATACAGCAGCGAAAAGTCTTCCGTTTCCAGATTAATGTAAAGTCGAATAAGAACTCATCCACTCATCTTTCTGATATTCATAGTGATTCATGCACATAGATTTCTCCCATGCCCAATCGTGGAGTTTACGATGATCTTAAAGTTATCTAGATGTTTATTATAGTCACTCTGTTCACTGAGTGACAACCCAGTGACACGGCTGCAGCGACAAAACTCACGGCAACTGCACGTAAATGGGCGAGCGCGGAGCCGGGTCGCGAAAGCGTTGGCAACCGTTTATTAGTATTAATTTTGCTAATATAGTTTTAAAGCAGTGGAGCCAAGTGAAATCGGATCTAGAACATGCTTGACTTCGAACTCGGAATTTCAAGATTGGATACTTGAGAAAGTCTTTACTTGAGTATAAAAAGATTGGATGGTCCCCTTTTTGAGAAGGATATGCACTATGAGATCATTGTCGCGGCCACAGACCTCATGCCAAAACTGAAGTGACACTGATTTTTTTGTTTCTTCTCATCACTTTCGTGTCTCCCTTTTCCGAATCACTATTTTGCTTTTTTCAGAGCTTCAAACCACCTTTTGCTATAAACAGCGAGACATTCGAGTTTACTCCTCGTATCCAGAAACTCAATGAAGTTGAAGCTATAGTAAGGGAGCGACAGGTATGCCAATTACATCACCTCTTATTAATCTTTTTCTTTCTTTTCTTAGGTGCCGTATTGTTACGTGTTTGGAGCTAAAACTAAAGCGCGAGTCGGTTTACGGACTACTTGATTTTTCCTCAATGGTCCTGCCACGAATGGCTAGAGCACAGACGATTAGAGAACGGGTGAAGCCCTGGGACTAAGCCTTGGAGAGGGAAGGGATCCGCGAGAGAGCGCAGGCAGAAGCATCAAACTGAGGCGGTTTAAAGGACGGAGTTCAAGTAGTCCGTCGACCGCTCTGAGCACGGGTTAGTTCAACCCAAAATAATTGGGTCAGCGATGGGTTGTCGGAGAATGGTAAAAGAAGTCATAATTCCGCCGATCTCTATAGATATTGTCGTTATAGGTATTATTTCTATAGATTTTTTGTATATATCTTCACAGATATTTTGACTTGTTTTTGTTTGTTAGTACCCGGTAGCGTAACTGGTAGCGCACTTGCCCGGAAAGCGAGAGGTGCGGGTTCTAGTCCCGCCTGGGGCGAAAGTTTTGTTCACAACCCAGCATTCTTGTGAAACATTTATAGATATTATTTTTTAAGTCCCATAATTTCCATATCAATTTCCTTAGTAGTGTGTGATCTGAATGAATATGCGACTTTTCTTCTATTATCCGATATTTTAATCGTACATGTGTTGATATTTTAACTATACGTGTCTTTTCCAGGTATTTCTCGAGAAGATTAATACCTTCTGGCGTTTGCAAGGCTTTGATTTTAAAAATTTGGTAGTGGACGGTAAAAATGTTGATCTCTTCAAGCTTTATAAGGTTCGCTCTTTTGTCTTTGTTCAGTTTCTACTTAAGTGATTTAATCTTTTATTTTTTGTTCTTTGTACAGCTCGCAGACTTTCATTATGAATTAGGCTTTCTAACAATTGAAATGAGTATGTGTAAGGTGATTGCTGTTCCGCGGTACATTCTGCAACCTGATGCCTGCTGAGCTTTTTTTTAACGCCAGCGTCCCTTTCTACTGGATCAGTTCCGCTTTTCCGCATTGACGT